TATAAGGTGTGATCGGCCGCAACTTTCTGTGCTTGAGAACAATGCTGAGATCCGTGTGTGGTGGAAGGACAACCGGTGCAAATGTGTCGTTCATTGTGTGAGCGATTGCTGCATCCACGACTCCTCTGCCAGTCGAGGCAGAGTGGCTGGTTGTTGGAACATAATAGTAGCTGTTTGTTGACTCTGTTGGTGAGCACAGGGTGGGACTTGCTCCAGAGACACTCGGCGGTGCAGTCGATGAAGCTGTGGGTGTGACTCCCCAAACAAATGGCGCACACAGTGGGAGAGAGCTGTCCATGTGCGCCATCCTGAAAACCCAGGTAATGATTCGAAGCATTGGGATCGCGAGAGGACTGAGTTTGTGTAGATTGCCCAGGCAAAGCTGAGCGCTTACGATCTGCAGTATGCTGCGACTGTGAAGATCCCGGAGAACATCCCTTAAGTAAAAAATCGGCTACTAGGTAAATAATGGAGATAATCATCGCTTGGGATGTCCGAGCTACCTCGTGGTTCGCTAGAAATGTACGCAGGACATGCGGTCGATCGTCCGTGATATGTATGGGGATATGTGAGAGTAAATCGGTCCGAGCCGCTTAAGGCAACGTAATAGGGAGTTTGAAAGGTAAAAGTACTGTATCTGTCAAATAAACCAAAGAAGAATATACTATGCACCAGTGAACAAGGATTTATGGATATGGGGTTCGACTGATTTTTCGGCTGGGCACACTACTAAAGCTTCCCCTGCATGTGGTCTTTGTCTTCGATGGCCTGAGCCGCCTGCCAGACAAGGGTCGAACAATCAGACACAGCCCCCACTGGCTCACCCGCGACTTCCAGCGCATGCTGGAGTTGTTTGGCTTTCAGTGGACCGAGGTAAGTTTTGCTCACCTCACCTCATGAGACTGTTGTCTCACCACTCCCCAGGCCCGAGTGAAGCCGAAGCCGAATTGGCTGCCATGAACACCCATGGTGTTATCGACGCCGTGATGACCGAGGACAGTGATGTTCTGATCTTCGGAGCTGTGTGCATAATTAGAACGTATGCCGTCATGTTTTTCTCATGCTTTTGCCATTGATTTGTCGCAGTGCGAAGAATGACAAGGACTATCTCAATGTTCAAGTGTATACGGAGGATGGTCTCGAGCATGGTGCCTCCTTGACCTGAGGAGATCGGCTGCTCATTGCCCTCCTGGTGGGCGGAGACTATGATAGAGGGGTGCCTGGTTGTGGAATTGAGATTGCTCACAAGGTTGCTATGTGCAGCAGAATTGGCGAGAATATGCTCTGCGCATTCCTGTCTATGCCGCCGGAGGAGTTCTCTGAGCGTGCGGAGGACCTCGTCGATGAACTACGCACTATGCTCACCAATGACCCCTACCATGACCTCAAGCGTCGGTATAAGGCTGTCGCAGATTGTATCCCATGCGATTTTCCACGTCGTGCAGTGATCGACAAATATGTCCATCCTCCGACATCTTTTTCAGCCGCGGAGAATGTGCTACTGGACGTGTCGTCCTCCCAGCCACATCTTGCAGACCTTGCAGACTTCTGCAGGCTGCAGTTGGGCTGGGACGATGATGCCATCATTGACAAGATGCACGGGAGTGTGTGGGAGGGTGCATGTCTCCGCACCATATGCAAGGTAGGCGGCACATGTGGTTCAATTTTTATAGACTCTAACTCGTGTTTTAGTTGCCCCGTCAGCATGCGGACCACACAGACCGCCGGCCGGTGTTCAAAATAATTGCTCGTGGAACGTTGATGGCATTGCGGCATGATATCGCTATTTATAATATCAAAGTCGATGGTCGGTGGTTGGCACACAACACTCTAGGCAACTCAGCTCAAGGGAAATTCTCTCCCTCGTACATGCGTCTTCCGGCAACAATACTGGATCATATGGCTCCCCAAGTAGTGCAGCAGTATATTAGTGCCTAGTGCAATCAATTGTCGTTTCCTAATCTAAATAGTGTGAAATGTGAAATGTGAAATTGTCATTAACTAGTTAGAGGCCCCTGACAATGATCTCCGTCCCGAAATTTTGAACTACCTTTGTGCCACACTCACTCGTTCGTGTTCACAAAGTATGGCACGACTCAAGAAGGATTCCGCGAAAGCCCCCCAGCTGCCAGACACTGCTCAGAAGAAAGCTGGGCGAAAGACGAGATCAGCTGCTGCGAAGACAGCTTTAGCAGACGTCCAAAAGTGTAAGGAACATGGAATAAAAACTCACCTTCAGGCAAATAACACAAGGATGAACTATGCCGGGCATGTTCGGCGTGGACGGGAATGGTTGGCAAGCCATTTCGAAACCCCGAGCTGTTCTGCTGTCAGCGAGACTTGGAGGGGTGACACGTCTGAAAACTCACTCATTCTGTTGCCTGCAACTGCCGAAATACATGCCGACAATGACGTGTATGAGGACCCGGCCTTCAAATATGCATTTGAGAGCATCCCGAACAGATGCTCTGACAAAGCACTGGCGCTCTTCATGTCCCTGAAAGGGTTCCACGAGAACCTCAGCAAAACTACTGTCAAGAGCATCCGTTCGGCATTTAAGAAGCTGTGGGAGCTATCGTGAGTATTATCGTACACAAATTAGAGCATACGAGCACTGACTTACATTTTAGAGATGGTGATACCTATCGTGGCAAATGGCACTTCAATGAGGCGAAGCAGCGCTGGGAAGGAAACCCTGCTGATTCTGCAGACATTTATGATGTGCTGTCATCCATCAAGCATAAGGCAAGTGCCGAGGGAGGAGATCGCACTCACTCAATGGCAATGACGAAGGACTACATGGATCGGGCATTCCGATGGCACCAGGCTGTGTGTCCACTCGAGATTGCACTACAGATGATTCAGAAGGTGATGAGTGGTGCTCGGCCTTCGGATATGCACCTGGACTTGGAAATGAGGACAAAACTTACTCGCCATCTTGAACAAGTCACGTTCGCATCGAACGGATGGACGTTATGGACAAGGTGAGATCTGATTAGCTTTTCCGCAGCACGTGCGCGATCTAACTTGCCCGCAGGTGTTTTGAGCTTGTAAAGTTGCAAAGAAAGGATATCTCACTTGATACCACTATTTTGGATGGGGTGCTCGGCGTGTACCTTGCAAACGAGACACTCACGCTGAGTAAATGCACATCATACTTCGAGATCTTTCTCGCTCACCGGAAAGGATGGCAAAAGAAGGTGGACAAGGGCCAATGGGAAGCAGATCTGAGATGTGAGTTGCTCACATTAAATCGAAGCCGGATGACTAAATGACCTCACCACTGGCAGCAAATCACTACAAGATTTATCCACGCCCCAACATGCCAGCCTGCGACAATTTCTTCTGGATGTTAGTTTGGATCAAGTGGCTTGAATCATTTCACTACGGGCGAACTCTCCAGCCGAACGACTTCATTTTTCCTGCGATGAGTGCAAATGGTGTTGTGCATCCTGGACAGCCAATCTCTCACGATACGGTACAAAAATGGATCAATGAGTCAACCGCTGGCGCTGGCATCCGTGGTAACTTCTCAACTCACTGCTTTCGTCGGGGAGGTGCGCAATATTGGTTCATGTTTGCTCCAGTGGGCCAGCGGTGGACACTTGCTAAAGTTCGTTGGTGGGGGGGATGGGCTGATGGCGAGCAGGTATGTCTCATGTTCTTATGACTGACACTTGACTGATGCAGCATTTTTTTCTCATTGTGTCTATTTTCAGCGTGATACACTCGTTCGCTACCTCCTCGACGAACTACATGCATATGAGACTGACTACAGTGATGCCCTTGCCCCCATCTCCCGCGGTGCTGATGCCTCCCTTGCTGGCGAACATGCTCTCGCCAGACCAGCATCGACAGAAGAGCTTCGCATGGTGCACGCATCCGTTTCAGCAGATGTCAACTCCCTTCGCAATGACATGCGCTCCCTAACGAGTGTTGTAGCACAGGCTGCCTGCACCACAGTAATCGCTCTCCAGCGTCTCGATTCAGGCCCCCGCTTCACCAACGTCTCTGAGTGTGCCTCCCGCACACCAACTCCACCTGTCAGAGACATATGTGCGAGAGCCGAACAGCCAGTTTTACCCAGGCCCGTCGTCAGCCACACTCTCCCTACCACCGAGCCATCCATCCGCACCTCGTCACAACAACTCTGCACCACGCTGCCCATCAGCATCACTCGGGCTTCAAGTACCCAGAAACTCCCAACACCTGGCCTTGTGATCCCTCGGGTCCCAGTCTCTCGTCCCAACGGAACCACCAGCCCGAAGCACAACTCCTGGAAGGAGATTGTCGAACACTGGCTTGTTGGCGATCGAGACCGAGGACTGACAACGCCACTGAAGGACTGGCCAAGGCACTGGTACCAAGGTGCAAATAGACGGTTTGCATCAAAGTACCACCAACGTGCAACAATCGCGCTAGAGTTCATTAATCAGTAAGTCCCTGCACTGGTATCTACACTGCCGGCACTGCTAACCCTCTGTTTCGGCTCCAGGTACGAGTCGAACGAGGCACGCTTCCTCGCAGCCTATCCAGAGGCCGAGCTAGGGCACACGCAACTTCTGAAGGCTGTGAACAAGGCACGCGCTGCACGAGGGGACCGTATCTCTCGCAACAAGTGATACCGGTCCCGTTTTTACTACATACTATCATTGCCTTTCAGTGCTTTCACTGCTTCGCTACGACGTTTCACTGCTTTGGCTGACTCTGTACATTCCACACTCACTGCCTACTACTTAGTAGCATACTACTGATACTCTACCTTACCACTCGCCGTCGCTAATCATGCCCGCACCCCACTCGCGTTTGTTCCGTCCTGCCAGCGCATTTGTTGAAACGCTCTGTTTTTTTCAACCAAAACTCACGCCTGTCACACAAACTGGTCATGTGCCAGCGAGGTCAGCGAATCCCGCCTCGAAAAGGGAATTGATCGTGGTCACGTGCTCTCGCTTGGTGTTTTGGCTGAGCGCCACCGTAAATTTCTCGACATAAGTATGTATGTTGCTCGGGCTCACAAGGACGAATGATGTCACGCGTTGTGTGACAGTCGCGTGACAAACGTATGCACCGACGAGCGCTTCAGAACTAGTATCAGCACATCTTCATGTCCGAATCATCCTCCCCTCCTCAAAGGCAACCTGAAGATGGTCATACGTTCGCCCGAGTAATACAGGTCCGTGCGATAACTGACTAGGATTCTACATCCGCTCAGGTTAGTCTTGACAGTTCATGATCAATAAAGCTGCCAGTGGGTCAATCAAGGAGCTCGATGGACTATGCAGCATTGCACAGCATTGGAAACCAGAACAACTTGTCATGCTACTCCCAGTCTTCTATTACCACCTTGATCCAGCTCGCATCCCCGATGTGGTCACTTCGAGGGACGTGAGGAGCATCATGCTCGCAAGATACTCCCTTAAAGGAGTGCTAGTCACGCTGAACCGCCTCGATTCCCCAAAGGAATTGACGCAGGCACTACAGACCATTGCTGACCACCTTGTATCCAATTGGCATCCCTGTCATCTCTGGGTCAATTTCTTTTATCGTAACTTCTTCGCCTCCAGCAACCCCACTCGCCTGCCGGGTCTTCTCATAACTAGATCAGAAGCGCTAAAGCTAGTTGTTAACATGCTGATGCGCATGGGGTTAATCGGCGACTCGAAAACACCACAGTCATTGATCAACACACCATCTCTACACCCCGTTATCTCGCAGTTGTGGTGTATGGCTGTCACCTCAAAGGACAACGACTTTCTCGCCGAGGCTGACAAGGTAATGGGCAGCAAGGAACAGGGGGCATTCCAGGAACACATGTCATACGTGGTGCAGACATGCCTGGATGTCGACCATCCTTCTTTTACGTCCACCCTTATTCATGTCGCTGGAGGCATTAAAGCCACGGCTTCTATTGCCTCCAAATATATCAGAAATATCCGATGTCTGTACAGGAAGAAGGTTCTTTCTGGACAAAGCATCGACGATACCACTCCATGCGATTCTGTTTTCGGGTTGCCTCGTTGGCAAATAATGCTCATAAATTGCTTCGGGAATTGTGCAACCCTACTATTCGTTACCAGCCAACAGAACTGCGCCTTGCGGGAGGCCTACATCGATCGCAACCTCGTGGCCCTCATTACCTACACCCTTCGTGATCTATGTCAACTCTCTTTAACCCTGAAGCACGATGACTTCGCCAAACATGTCAAGAAGGCATTTGAGGATGCTTTAGGTTACATTGCGTTACTCATGGGAGGTCCTGTGGATGATCTTGTGGCCGTTATATGTCAGGCCCTTCGGGCGCGTTTCCTCCCTACCGTCCTTCAGGCTCATACCTGCATTCCTGGCGCGGATGCGGCGGAATGCCTTAATGCATTGTTAATTACTGCTCTTCGCTCATACCTCACGTTCGACAAGGTCTTGCGGATCGCTGGGAGCGAGCTTGAAGCTGATGAGAAATCGCTAGATGCGATTGCTCAGAGCGACACAGACCTACTACAAGCCTGGAACCTGTTCAAGAAAGACGTTCGACGTTACTTGGACCTTAGAAGCCAGATACCCGCGGCGTCGATCTTCTTCGATCGTCAGTGTGCTGCTGTGCATGTGAGCGAACCATATCACTTGTCCAGACTGTTGCTAATCAGCCACCGATGCTGCAGAACAGTGATGAATGGCATCCGCAGTGGGATCTATTCCAGTGTGCCAGGTGCACGGTTGCGAGGTATTGTTCTAGACAATGCCAGAACATAGATTGGGATCAGGGCCATCGAATGGCATGCAAGTACCTCAAAGCTGCCATTGGCGCGTCTCCCTACATCATGCGACATATTTTGCATACTGAGACGCATTCACAGGTCCAAATGCCTCACGATATGTCAGGAGAAGCCTATTTCTTTTGGCCAAGATTGAAGATGCTGAAATTCAATCCCATCAAGAGTTCATATCTCAGCTGTCGGTGACCGCTCAGGCAGAGCACCCAGAATTCCAAGATTGTCTTGTTCTCGAGATCGATCCTGTTGCAGAGGGCCCTGCAGATAAATTCAAATTCAAGCCGGTGTCCAACTATCTTCATATCTTCCCGGAGGCATCGGAACGTCCATGGCAAGCCGCAGGCAAGTGGCGCCAATCTGCAGGACTGCATAGCCTTCGCCTGCCGCCTGTGATGCGTATTCACGAGGGATATGAGATAACGGATAAACCTAATTTGCTCTTCAGCCCATCGACGGCCCTCAGGATGGCGTTTAAAGAGCACGGATTAGATGCTCGTGTCAATGACGGCGCCTCGAGTGTTTATTATACCGGGAGTTCCTTGTGATTGTGATTGTACTGCGCTTCGTCTGCTGCCGTGCTGTTGTAATAGTTTTGCCTCCGATTTCCGTCTGCTGTGCCTGCTCGCTATCTCGAGACCCAATGTTATGATGCTGTCTTTTGTTTTACCATTGATTGTATACCAAATTGCGCCGTAGATAGCCTATGGTACTTATGAAACGTCTTTTTTTATCACAACGCACACATAACGAAACAGCTGATGAAATGCATGGAGGATGCAATCGTGACAGCTCACTAGCAATGAAGTTTGCAGGACTTGCCTTCGTTTACCATCCGATGCAGCAACAGGAGATGAGGCTGAAGGTGCCAACCAGTAATGAAAGAGGGCTTTTGTCTGGATGTGCTCGTTATCTGTTCATTGTAACAGGGAGGCGTCCACATGTACATCTAACTGAAGGCAAGACCATCATTGTGCTTGTAAGTCCGATTATGTCGTTGTACGCAGCGAGAACGAGAAACGCGATTACGAAGGGGAATAGTTAGATCGTGAAGGATAGAGCAGATCAGAGTCGATGGACAAGGATACTGAGAACGTGTCGGTCCAGATACTTTGGATCAAAAACAGCGGGTGAATTCGATACTGTACTGTACGAGACGATACATGCTATAAATACGAGTGAAAGATAAATGAGAATATTGGTCCTTGGAATGGCGGGGGCGAGCGCATTCGGGTGGTAATGTGGCAGTTGATGTGGTGTGTGCAGCGGCACGTGGTTGAGTTCAGGCGAGAGAGTGGAGAGCTCAGCTCACACTCATCCCTGAAAGGAATGACTTGGCCTGCTAGCTATAAAACAATCAGCGGTCAAGAAAAATGACTGGTCATGTAGAACGAACTTCCGAGAAAACCTACGTGCGATTGGAGGTAGAAGTCGCACACAGCGGAATTGCCGACTCCGTTATCCGGCAACGAATCCTGCAGGGCAGTTGCAAACCTGTCCGCTTCGTTGCTAGAAAAGCGTCCAAAATCAGGTAGACATGGGGAGGTAGTTGAGCAATATCATACCTGTTCTTCAACAAAGCAATGACCGTTGCTAGACTAACCCACCTTCGATGCCCTCGATTTCGTCTTTCCCCGCGATCAGGGTGCGAGATTCCAGCCGAGATGACGCAGCCTGATCAATAGAAACGTTGATGGCTGCAATGAGTGACTTGGTAGAAAAGAAGCAGAGGAGCTCAGCGAGTTTGCTGCAGACTGCAGTAAGACAGACCCCCGCAATTGCCTAGAGTTGCCTGCGCGGAGGCAGGACACAATCCTCGCAGCACATCAGAACAGCAAGACAAACCATCTACATGACTGCTGTAAGGTGAACCTGCAAAGAAAAGTCGCACAATGGCCGTTGGCACATACTTCCACTTACTGAAAATTTCGGGCGCCCGTCAACCGAACTACAAAACTCGCAAGGTAGCAATGCAAGTGAAATCATAGCGACAAGAACTGTCAGTTAAGAGAGTGTGGCAACCTACCATAACATACGAGAACCGTGACGCGTACTTCGTGACGCATCTCGCTCGGCGGTCCAACCATAGGTGTAAGTACTCGCTCGCTCTCACTCGATTACAGTCGTTTGCAATGACTTTTTATTAGCTCAAGAAAAATACCTTATTTTGGCTATGTTTTCCACTTTCGTACCATGGACAATATGTACAAACACATGTTGCGCGTTTTCGCAACTGAAAAGTCATACGCACTGTACTCACTTGAGGCTTGAACCTTCTACTTGCGAGCTTGCAAACTATGCAGACGGCAGACTATTCAGACATTTATTTTCTACAGAACCCTCTCGTGGCCACTAAATTGAGTGTTGGGGATATATGCAGTAGTGCAACTCTCCAATCCGCATCCACAATACAGACACAACTCATTACCATACTCGAAAAAATTGTACCAGCCCCCATGTATAACTGAGCATTGACAGGAAGAACTGAACTGATTCAACCTGCAGGTATGGGTATGTTGTGTAATCCGCTTCCCTAACACTTACCTCCAGCAGCTCTTCATTCAATGAACTGGTGCGAATGAGCATCCGAGCCATACCTACCATGTCGGTGAGTCAGGGGTTAAATACAGGACACAAACTACTCATACTCACGCAGTAACTCCCATCATAGCAGGTTCTGCACGGTTTATCATTGAAGCACATGAAAGGACAGTGTCCACTCTCAGGGGCAGTGGCAGGTATTGATGCTGCAGATATTGATGCTGTCAAAGCAGCAACAACCGCGAGGACAAAGGATAAACGCATTGCAATGTTTGTAAGCATGTGATATGAGAGTAAATAGATCTGAAGGGGACAGTAGCAAGACGGCTTGCTTTTATATGATGAATATTGTTATTTATGGCGATGTAGGACCTACCTATGGCCATCGTTTCGAACAGATGATATCTGCAATGCCAGCAGATTGCCACCTGAGATCTCCAAAATGCCAGCTCGAATCCGCATGACGCCATAGCTTGTTGGGCGCACATCACTGCCGGATTATGTACTTCCTAACATCTCGTATCGCCTCTGCATGCTGTCACGTAGTACACATCTGCTTATATGTCAAGTCTACATACCTCAGCAGGCGCGAAGGAACGTCTATCTTCCCTTGATTAGTCTGGCTAGGGGAGGCTACAGCAGGCAAGGACTTTGAGAAGCCGCTGTTTTGACCTCTGCGCGGATATCCAGGTTGTACTGTATCGACCAGTATTTGATCTGACAGATTGCTATAGTTGCGTACGGATGAGCTCAGGAGCTACTTTCATCATGCCTTTTACGATTGCGCCGCAGCGTGCTATCTTGATCAATTTTGTCGCCCCCACATTTGTCCAGCTTGCTCCACGATTTTCCGTGGACAGTTTATTACCAACACACCCGTCTAATTCCCGCCCTCTGAGCTTCCCACTTTCTCGCCCGCCCGCTTTGTGCCCGCCGAAATTTTCGCCTGCTCACCAGTTAGTATCCAGTCGTTATTTACCTCGACTTTCATAATTTACTGATTGAACTCGACTGTCACGCGTATTACTACACCTCGCACTTTAGAATACCGATTCAAATGGTAGTACTGGCACTGCTGTTAACATCAGCCAATATTGACATCCAGACAGCGGATTCGAGCCGACATTGGCTTTGCTTCGCAAGGACGTATTTTATTCCACGTCACATTGCCAATAGACCTTGCTTCACAAGTTATGATCGGACCGTCTGTATGAACTAAGTTCTCGAGATCTCAGGTGGCATTCTGCTGGCATCGCAGATATCGAAAGCGGATTTCAGGTGGATAGGTTCTTCCTACATCGCCACAGAGAACAATATTCAGTACATAAAAGTAAGTCGTCTTCCTACTGTCCCCTTGAGATTTAATTGATCCCATTCACAAACAATGCGTTTATCCTTTGTCCTCGCCGGTATTGCTACTTTGACAGCATCAATATCTGCAGCACCAGTACCTGCCAGTGACGCTGCCAGTGACCACTGACCAGTGTCCTTTGTTTTGCGATTATACTGAACAGTGTTGCCTAGGGCAGCAGGCGTCCTTGTCATAGTAATGCAAGAAAATGCTGTGATTGCAGGGGTAGTGGTGATGCATTTGTCTTACAACTGTAGGCCTGCAAATACTGATGCATCATAGCAGTATAGGGTGATGTATCCATGATGCATTCAGGATGCATCCACATTCGATGCATCATGCACTTGCCTGCCTCCCGCATTGCACGGTTACAATACCTCGGTTATTTTAGGCACCTCCCGCTCACCGCCCTTGGCCATTTTAGGACTGATGCATTATGCACCTGCACGCCTCCCGCTTCTCACCACCCTCTTAGGACTAATGCATTACTATGCATCTGTACACCTCCCACCTCCCACCGCCCTCGCCTATTTTAGGACTGATGCATTATGCACCTGCATGCCTCCCACCTCTCACCACCCTCTTAGGACTAATGCATTACTATGCACCTGCACACCTCCCGCCTCCCACTGCCCTCTTCCATTTTAGAACTGATGCATTATGCACCTGCACATCCTCCGCCTCTCACCGCCCTCGGCCATTTTAGGACTAATGCATTATGCACCTGCATGCCTCCCGCCTCTCGCCTCCCGCCCTTGGCCCACCATTTTAGGACTGATACATTATGCACCTACACGCCTCCCCCCTCCCGCTGCCCCCAAACTTCCTGCGCCTTTACAATAGCTCGGCAATTTTTAGTGTGCCCGCTACCTACACACATTACCCATCTACAGTCACTTGTGTGGGCATTGTTGCTGCTGCACCTGATAAGTACACACCCTTATGTTGATTTATATACTAGTGTACTTTATGCAGTCATTCACAGTACTTGCTTGGAAATGCTACTGTTCATTATGCGCCCTTCCGCTGGTAAAAAAAAATCAAACAATAAACACAACCACCACCCGGCGACGCAGCACCATATGGTACCTTATAAATTGCATCCAAGCCCCACATAATCTCGCCCACATAATCTCCATTGTCGAAATTTGCCTGAGTCCACTTGTTCAAGACTACGTAATGGATGACTTTCCATAGGCTCGAAATATATAGATTATAATATCATATCATAAATTTGACTACATTAGGAAGGTGTGCCATGATGCTGCTGTTCATTTGAGGTGAATTTGCAAACAAATATTTTTTGCCCCCCTCTTTCAAACCTTAATTCTATTTTGATCTGTAGGACCCCCCCCCTACAGACTTGAATATCCGCCTTTTGTCCATTTTAGGCCACTAATGCCAGCAATATTTGCTGATGTAATATGCATTGCTCAATGTGTGTGGCACCACTTGAGGTCACACAAAGGTGCGTCGTCAACATCTTGCCAACTTTGTTGACACATTTTTCTCCCTCATCTGTTTAGACTTTAATACCAAGTCCTTAGTATGAAACTATGACCTGACTACGCTGCATTGGCCTGTGCCTCCCATCCCATGCAATATCAGCCAGCGCCTAGCTCAACCAATCCCCACCCTCTGTCAATGAAAATTTACTTTCCATCCCTACATTTACAGCCAGCTCCCTCACAATTGCTACATATTGGGCTGGTGCACTTGTGTGGCATTGTTACTAGTGCAGGGCACTTGCATTTTGCAGTTTTTCAATGAAAAAACACACCCGGCCCTTCCTTCGGACGGCTCAACAAACTCAAGGACTATATGGGTTCAGCACATTTCCAGTCATAAGGTAAGTGTGTTCATACAGCAGTCCCTACAATGTCTGATATCCCTCCTTCCCAATCTATGTTCAACCCTGATAGCCCATTGAATCCTGAGTTGCATTATGATGGTGCAGGGAATGCGTATGCGCACGATCATGCGGGAATTTGGCAGTCCCATCCTGGGATCACTCAGGCCGTCACTTGATCACACTGGCCTGAAGATCGCGTGTCATATCAAGTAAGTCAATTCGTTGTTCTTTAAGCTTCGTGACATGGGCTCACCACCTTGCAGCAACCTGCCGCTACACCCTTGACGTATGGACTCACCACTCGTGCTGACTTCTCCCAATATGGTCACGCATCTGAACCACCAGCCATACCATCTGGCTCGCATCTTGTTCTGGGCGCTGCTCAGATTCCACTCCCCGACTCACCAGATAGAGAGCTTCATGACCCCGTGGCAATTGCCAAGGCTCAAGGATATGCACCTGCCATCAGTACTGCTGGTGCACGTCGCAAGACTGCAGCCAAAGCCAACAAAGGCAAGGGGAAAGAGAATACTGACCATGCTCCCAAGCACACATGCGCAGCTGAGGACAACAAAGATGACCCAAGGCCTGGGGCCAAATGCAGCTGGTCCAGTGGGTCTAACAATTACAGTGTGACTGACATCCAAGTCCTCCTGGACTTTGTCGAAGATGAGTGCCCTCTGGGCCAGAAAGGGTGGCAAGCGATCCATTTGAAGTACAGTGAGTGGGCAAGGAAGCACAAACGTCCTCCTCGCAAAGCCATGTCGCTTGAAACCAAGTTCAAACAAGTAAGTCTTACATTCAAGTATTTCTACCCACATCTCACATAACAACCTCAGTTGGTGAAAACCACGAAGTCCACTGGTGATGGCATCTGTCCCCCTGATGTAACTTGTGCCCATGAGATTGACATGCTCATCAATGAGCGTGCTGGTACACACGACCTCAATGACTCGATGCCAACAACAGTCATGATGACTTGCAAAATGTTACTCCCCCCATCGAGCATACGGCAGTCACTTGTGCCACGCCGCCGAGGTGCAGCTGCCTCAGAGTTGCTCACGCACATCAGTGGGACCTTTGACCCTGCCATCCAGGAAGCTTGGGACGAGCAACGTACCAACCGATCCATTGCAAACACACAGCTGCTTACCCAAGCGCAGCAGCTATGAGATGTGAATGCAGTCACAGAGCAGTTACGCACTCAACTGTATGACTTATGCAGCAAACTCTACAGTGTTGAACGTGAATGTGACCTTAGTCAACTTTGTGTCGAAATGATGCAGATGCACGGGTCTGCTCCCAACCCAGCTCCTTGCAATGCCCATCCCAACTCAGCTCCTCGCCATGCCTGTCATCAACACAAACCCAAACAGGCGAATTATACCTATTACCCCAACGGAGGCCAAAGTGTCATCTGGCACAGTGATACAGACACCCTCGCCAACATGTCTGATTGTTGTTCGAATTCTCCTCACTTTAGAGATGTTACCCCTATTGATTTTGGTACTTCTCCATCTCCTTGCTGTGCAGGACTGTCACACAGATCAGAGCCGTACCGCTGGGCAAGCAGACCACGTTCCCATGGTGGACATCCACGCAATACTGTGGTTTATCCAAGTCGTTCTCGCAGGGAAGGCATCCCAGAGCCTACAGACCCCAACAGTGGGGAGGATGCCTGTGAGCCACAGAGCACGGAAGTGTAGTCTCGAGCTGTTTACTAGTTACCCTTACCAAAAGCCTCATATCTCTTCCTTACTCTGATTGTCTTCTAACTCGCACTTCATTGAGAATTGAAAAATGACTGTTCAAACCTCATTTCTCTTCCTTACTCTGATTGTCTTCTAACCGAATCCAGCCTCTGCCACATCTCTTCTATCATGCTCAGAGGGTCCCACCTCCCATGCCAGTCTACTTTGTGGATCCCAAGTGACTGGCAGAGCTCACCATTAACTCCAGACCTATCGTTCAGACCTTATCGATGATTCCATGTGAGTATACAGCGAGCGTGACTGGCCAAACTCACCATTAACTCCAGACCTATCATTCAGACCTTATCAATGATTCCTCACGAGTATACAGTGAGCACAACTGGCGGAACTCACCATTAACTCCAGACCTATCATTCAGACCTTATCGATGATTGCTCAAGAGTATTCAAATTGATGCAGATGTACCTCTACTACAAGTACTCTAGTGCGACATGGAAACGACTAACCCAATCTTTCTGCCTTTGCTCAGAAAATAACATGTTCTCAAAGTCTTGCCAGATGGCGGCATCATCAGCTGTCTCCTGCCAATACTTAAGGTACACCGTGCAGATTTGGTTGATGCTGACTCAGATTGCATGCAGATTGTGCAATCGAACACAGATCTCAATGAGATCACCCCGCGAATCTTTGTTAGCAATTTCAAGCGGTACACGCAATCTCCCAAAACCACCTTGAAGACCACACATCCCCCATTGTTATGACCGACATCCAACAATAATGTTGAAGGTGAGTGCACAACCACTAGGACTCGGTCAGAGATGATAATGAGCAACAGGATAGATTGAGCATTGACGTCTAGGTCACTACAACAGTAGAAACGAAGAGGTTAAGTCTAAGGAGCTCTTACGCTAACTACCCTACTCTTATACATAACATTGAGTCGGAGATATCTGAGTACGAAAGAAATCAGCCAATGAGAAAAGAGTCGTACGATACTGCAGATGAGTAAGTATGACATCATGATATATAAGCAACTGAGTCAGACGGTTACTAAATAGAAACCCAAGATCCGACCAGTTCTTCTTTAGGAAGCGAGATTGTTCTAGCCCGTGGAGTAGGGGAGCCAATCGGAGAAGCAATGGGTGACCTATGACGTGAAGTCACGTGACCAGCTCGGTTACTGGAAGTAGCCAAAGGAAAACCGAGAAATGAAAAATGGTTCATATTTGGGATTCGTGACACCCATTCAGCAGTCTGCCAGTATGAGAGGAGCTCGTGATTGAATGCCATGCGTTCCTCAATTTCAGCAAGTGACCCTTGGACTTGTTGGCCTTGTTTGAGGGGCGCACAGATCCGGCCTTGGATGTCATTCGTCCCACGTGGGAAGGCTGTATCAGCCACAATGTAGTAACCTGGGGGAGTATGGTCTCAAAGGGAGGCATAAATTTGTTGCACGAGGCATGAGTCATGCCAGCTATCAGGGGCATTCATCCTGGCAGCAATAATAACCCCTGCGACTTATAGTTAATGAGTGAAGTGCGAATTCGGCATCAAACTCACCTTCAGCTGAGAATGCCAACACTGAGCTGATGAAATGCTCAGAGAGCCAACCGTTGAATGTTGCATTCTCAATGTTAACATCATCTGATGTTTGTACTGGTAATTTAAGACCATCTATGCTGCTGAACGCCCCTGCAAGTCTCCCATGACGTGCGACAACAAGCGCACTACAGCATTCGAATTCTGGGCCTTCAAGCCATCAAATTTTGGCATCTCACATGGTGCGGAGGGTGAGCAGGAGAAGGTTAAGGCCAAATTTAAGATAGTGGGTGACGGTGCTGGGGATGATAGCGAAAATTTGCTGGAGGCTGATAGCGTGCATAGTGGAGCTGAGATAATACAATACGAGTCCAAGTGCCCCTGCAGCATCGAGTGAGCACCATTCAATGTGTGTATTTCCATGCGCATTCACATCATCACGAAGGATGGGTGTCTCATACCAGAGTTGGGCAAAACCTGTGGTGAGCAGCAAGGTGAAGGTAGTTACATCAATACCCATGGTGGTAATAAATGCTCGATCGTTCTGGCTGTTGTATAACACCTGCCAAGGGGTGTTGATGCGAGGATTGGGGAGAAGCTGGGGTTGGCAAAGGTATGAATGATGGGGGTTCCACGCGTCAATGCGCTCTTGCCGTGATACCTCGATCCCACAAATGAGGGCTGCAGCTACTACCTAAGCTCCTTCATCGTCATGAAAAAGTTCTGCCTTGTTGTTGTTGAGAAGCTGGTACTGCATTGCAAGATTGTCCATTGAGGACTGGACTAAATCTAAAGAACTAAGTGTATGGGGGATTATCATCAGCAAAACCCTAAGTTAAGGTCCCCCCATATACAGCACTGTATGGCGCTGTGTGGCGCTGTGTGGCCTGTACAGCACTGTACATGGGGGGACTTCGCTACACATAGGGTTAGGGTTTTGCTGATGATCATTGCATAGATTAAATTGTTGACAAGATTGCAAATCGTAGCGGTGCGAGCGCCAATCCCCGACTCCGCAAGAAAACACAGACAAGATATGATTCGCAGATATTCATAACAACAATATAGTATAGGTCATTTATACAGTTCGAGTGGCAGAATCGAGCCCAAGACAAAAAAAGCCACCAAGAAAGACAATCGTGTGAACCTACTCGACCATAGTATACTCCAACTCATCCTCGTCAGGTACACCAGTAAAAGAACCTTTTTTAGTGGGCGACTGCCCCGTCGTCTCGTCCGCGGCCTTTCTTTTCCCCTTCCTATCCTTGAGCGAGTCCACAAAAACGGGCTGAGTGTACTTAGTGCAAGGCAGAAGTTGCATGTGTTGCAGCATGATCTGGTATATACAAGAACCATTGACATCGTGGGGGTTGGGGTTGTCTCTACGTGGTTTGATAGTCCACCTACAAGATGTCAGAATATCAAACCCTATTCAAAAGAACCAAGGACTTACAGTTTTAAGATGACCTCTAACTCAACAATCATACCCTCTTTGAGTTGTGAATGTGAACAGCAAGACCATTGCAAGTCTTCTGACGTGAGCAGCAGTTTATCGACGGACGCCCCTTCGAAGGTAGACCATGTATACAATCTGAAAGTACTTCGATAGTCAGTTTATGAAGCCTCTGAACTAAATGTGTAATCGGGAGAGCAGACCAACGGATTTTCGGCACGTCGACAGGATCAAAGACACAAACCTGTGGTGGCGGTGGTTGACACAGAGCCTCAAAAACATTTTTTCCATACATATCGCCGAAGTACCTTGCCAAACAAGGAATGAGTTGGCTACCTTCTGCAATGATTGGGGTACGGGAAAGTAATATTTGCAGTTGATCCTTACTCGAATGCATCACTCGTAGTCGGATGGCAGCAAAATGATGTAGCACCGCGCGCACGCAATCCTTTTTTGTTTTTCCTCACAGAACGGAGAGACGAGAAACACAATCAACCAAGACACCATCCAGAAGGACCGATAAATGTTGCTCTTGAATTTCCTCGCTGTAATAGAACCATGTCGGGTAGATGTCTAGCCTTGAAGGCAGGCACTTCTCGACAGAGAGGGCATCATGAGAGGAAAGCTTGCAAAAGACAACACAATGACAGTAACTTGCATCTGCAAATTCACCTGGTGTTGTAGTCAATGATTTTTGTTGGTGGCATATAGTGATACTAACACCGTCGTACGAAACACAACCATGAAAATTTGACCAGCGGCACTTCAAGCAACACAGAGGATGAGATTTAAGCGAAGACTTCAACCATGTACAAAAACATTCAGATGTTTCAAAAACGCAAGATTAGATCGTGGATAATAGAGTGCATCATAATAACGGGGATATTTGTTCACATCGTGGGGCTCATCGAAAGGAGGACATTGTCCTTCATCAAGGACTCGAGCCAAACGACAAGGCAACTTTGTAAGAAAAACCCTGAACACACATAAGCTATACTGCAATGAAACAAACGAATTATACTCACATGTGCCTGCCGCAGTGCGTGCTTTTTCCTAGTGTATCTGCAAGTATTTGGTGGAGAAAGAAAAAGGACAGCGCGATGCTTTCCCACAACATTGACCACCGAACTAAGCAAGCGCACATCTTCCCACACCCACATTTTCCCACACCCACAGGTCCGTTTGCAGAGAAATAGTCATTTCCTTGCGACAAAACCCTCTTCCACTAAAGTGGAGTCGGGGATTTATTTCAGGCTCCGAAATAATCTATTCCGGATTATTTAGCCTACGGAAAGTCATCCAATCTCTATGGTCGAAATTTGCCCAAGTCCAGTCTATAATTGAAGTCAGACATGCTAATACTAGAGCTTACATCAGCAAAACACTTTTTTTCCCACCACCAAAAAATGGCTGGCCACAGCTTGGTCCCTTCTGTACAGAGCTGTACAGAGCCCACAGAGGCAAAGTGATTTGCCGATGTACCCTAGTCTAGGGTTCAACTATACCATTCAAGCTCCGACCTTCAGCGAAATCCAAGCCGAGAACCTCTCACACGACATTTGCCAAATGTTGGGCAACATCTCGTTGCCAAACTGGCTCTTAGAATATCGATTCAAATAGTAGTACTGGCACTGCTGTCAACATCAGCCAGTATTGACATCCAGACAGCGGATTCGATCTGACATTAACTTTGCTTCGCAAGGAGATATTTTGTTCCACGTCAATTGCCAATAGACCTTGCTTCACAAGGTAAGTAAGTCATGATCGGACCGTCTGTATGAACTAAGTTCTCGAGATCTTAGGTGGCATTCTGCTGGCATCCCAGATATCGAAAGCGGATTTCAGGTGGATAGGTTCTTCCTACATTACCACGAAGAACAATATTCAGTACATAAAAGTGTGTTGTCTTCCTACTGTCCCCTTGAGATTTAATTGATCCCATTCACAAACAATGCGTTTATCCTTTGTCCTCGCAGGTATTGCTACTTTGACAGCGTCAATATCTGCAGCACCAGTACCTGCCAGCGACGCTGCCAGTGACCAATGTCCTTTGTTTTGCGATTATACTTCAGAGTGTTGCCTAGGGCAGACATGCGAATGGTTTGTGAGTATGAGTAGTTTGCGCGCTGGATTTAACCACATGACTCACCGGCGTGGTAGTTCGTCTATACTTTATGCAGCAGTACATGAGTGGGTGGCAATAAGTGGATGGCATGTTGCGACAGTGAACTACAGTGAGTCGTGTTTCTGCGTTCGCATCGGTGCAGTATAGTTGATGGCACGATGCGTAAATTACTAGTAGTTGAGTTGATCAACGTGCTTGCTTTTCGCTGCCGGTCGAGCAATGGAGATTTTGGAATAGAGAAAATCTCAAACACTTGAATACATAGAATATGACTACCCGTGGGTTGTCGGCAGTCTCACCCACCCGCAGGTATACCCAAACCCCCACTGCGGGTGTTTGAAGAGATGTGTGCTGTGTATACAAGACGTCATACCTTGAAACCTGCAGGCAACTCACAATCTCGTCGTTAATGGTATACATCTCGGGCGCCTCAGTTTCGTTACTTAACACGATGATCCTCGACGTTGTCAATATGTAGTCTAAGTGTTTCCTGGAAAACCCACGCAGAAATGACCCTCACGAACTGCGAGTTTCTAGATGACGTCCCAGGAGGAAGTTCCTTCCTTGTATATGAATCACTGAACAGCTGACCGCCACCTGCAAAGACAACGTGGGGGTCCACCTTCGTCTGGAATCCTGTAACGAGACCCATCTGACTGCCAGCCCATAATCCTTCCCCGTATTTTGCGGTAGCGTTGACTCCAGAGTCATCAGTGAACTCAGCTGCGAAGCTCTCTGTCAGTCCGCGGAGGATGGGGACGAGCAGAGGATGGGGTGAACTTAAGACGGGGCTTGTGGTTGGGGATTTGGGGCGAGCGGGATGGCGTCTCGGGAGGTGGTGGAATGAGCGAGAACTCGGTTGCGAGAGATGCGAATAGGGTTTGTTTGGGAGAGAGTGTGATGAGAAAGTTGGGTTTCTCTGAGGGGAGCCCCATGAGCAACTGCGTCTTGCAATTGCGAATGCTGCAAAAGGATTGTATCCAGTAATTACTCTGTACTTACATTTTGTTTCTGGTGCAAAAAGAATGACGTAGTCAAAGTTTGGCACGGGGCCGTACATAATCGGTGATTGCGAGACTGGCGTGCTTGGGAGCACGGAAACGTGAGCCCTCGTTCTACCAAGCGGGGGAGTCATCATATTATTCGTTCAAAAATGTTATTTGGGGACTTCTGGTCAATAGTTGACACGTTGTGTACGCTAATAAGGCATATTGCGGCAGGTCCAGCAATTTACCTGAGCCCGATTTGTGTTGAGTGATTTGTGATGGAGCCGCCGCACCGGGGATTTGTGTGAAGATCATGGTCGTTCCATGTAAGCGCTAAGCAACGACTTATAGGTTCCTATAACTCACCCACCACCGAGGTGGGTGACCGAGCAACGCCGTCAACAAGTCCATTTGTTCTTGTGTCGGTCGTGCTTGAAAGCTGGTGGGATCATTTGAACAAACGGAGATAACCACGGCCACGGAATCGTCCCCGTCTTCGTCGTTGCTAAATTCGTCTTCGTCTTCAATGGCGCTTGTATAGCCCTCATCTTCGTGTTCGTTTGCATCCTCTTCCTTTTCATCATACAATTCCTCATGCTTGGGCTCAGCCTGCGAGACCTGATCTTCCTTCTCGTCATTCTCCCACTGCGAGGCGTCGTGCCAATCCTGGAGATACTCCGGGACCTGGACCTCTTTTCCATCGTTCTCCCATTGCGAGTTGTGCAAATCCTGGGGATACTCCGGGATCTGGTCTTCCTTTTCATCAATATCCTCCTCCTTTTCGTCAAATAAATCTCGAGGCTCGGGCTCAGACTCCGGAATCTCATCCTCCTTTTCGTCAATCTCCCTCTCTGAGTCGTCATGCACAGACTCCAGAACCTGGTCCTCCTTTTCGTCTTGCTCAGGATCGCGCTCAAACACCAGGACCAAGACCTCCTTTTCGTCGTTCTCCCACTCCGAGTCGTCATGCACAAACTCCGGGACCTGGACCTCCTTCTCGTCGTTCATCCACTCTGAGTCGTCATTCAAGTCCTCAGGCTCGCGCTCAGACTCCGGGACTTGGTCCTCTTTTTCGTCATTCGCCCCCATCGAGTCGTCCTCCAGCCTGAGGACCGGGTCGACACAGCATTTGTAATCCAATTGACGGAGGCGAAACTCTTTCAGAAGCCAATTGCGAGTCAACGACACGCATGTGGCATCATAAAAATCGGTGGGATCGATGAATGTTTTGACCTCGTTCTCGAAGGTGAGAATGAAATTTTGGGTGATGCGATAACCGTAATGTTGAGCTTTGTTTTGTCTAGGGGGACACTGAATATCGATCTGAGGCGACTCCTCGGTGAACGAGGAAATCTATGGGGTTGAGGCGAGGTTCAATCAATATATGTAATACTGAAGAACAATAATTTAGTGACCTTGAGGCTTTGGGCTACTTGCTCGAGTGAAAGGGACATCGTACGTGGGGTGACTTGATAGGTGTTCTAACTACTCTCAACTAACTCGTCAAATATAAAAACACAATAGTCATCCACTGTGGTCTTTCAGACTTGTTCCCCTTTGTCCAGTGATCTTTGTCTCTTTGTCTCAATATTGTGGCGTTCGTGGTCAAGGCTAGATGGGGATCTGTGGAATATCGCTTCCTACGATGTGTTGGGAATGTCCATTTTCCTAGACCTCATAACCAGTAGCGCCTCTCCCAATGGGACTGAGAAATACATTTTAGGCTGACGCTTTTGTTGGTCGTCCTCATCACGGTTTGCAGTTCCACTCCTGGGATAACGGCATCGCTTGGTGATATCATGAGATATGGAAGCTCAATTCTGTACCTCGTCGTTTTCCTGTTCGGTATTCCGAGTATTCGACCTGTTCTGGTATATGTGCAGTGATATGTAGTTTGTTTATGCAGCCTATATACGCCTGTCCTCTCTCCTTCAATAACACTGTTCTCAGGCGCTTCAGCGCTTCATTCACCTGTGACTCAGTACACAGTGAGAATGAAGCCCTTACATACGCCGTCTTACGTCCGTTTGGAAGGAAGACCGTACCAGGGAGGGCGAGCACACCGCCCTCATATGCCTTGGGTCACCAGCGAGGAGCTGGGAAGGAGCATTAATATTGGAAGCGAATGTGGACAAGAACGTGGACACGCCGGAAAGTAGCGCCCTTAAAGAGAACAAATATTCTCCTTCGAGATATGCTCGAAATGACGACTCGCGAGTTCAATTGTGCCATGTCCTGTGTATTATAATGGAAGCACCAGTGCACGGTGCCGCACGACATGGTATAGGTATTCGCTTCTAGGTCTCGAAGCTGTCAAGCCTGCCAACTACTACTGTACCAGTAGCCACTCGGACAGATACTGAAGGAGCTCGTGGAGACTGCTGGTATGGGCGGGAGCGGTGTGTTCGTTGTGCTAGTGCATCGCGAGTCGCGACAGCACTGCGGCTAAAATAAAGGATATAATTACTTTAGCAAAGACAGAATAAAACGAGTAAGGCTAAGTACGTTACGACATGTCAACGTCTACTATGCATCGATGGCAGAAGGGTCTCCGTAGTATGCCGTGGGCATCACGACCGTCGACGACACGATCCTTGTCCAGTGTCCACTAGCACTAGCTGGTCCACAGTAATCTACAACCCTTCAAGTACTGTCCCCTTCAATACACCACTCTCCCAATCGTGGCCCGTGTTAGCCAGGATTCCTTCCGCGCATCTTCCCTTCTGGTTTCATCTCAAAAAGCAACAATCTGCAGGACTACCCTCCATATCCCTGAGCCTAGGCATAGCTCTTCCAAGCTTCCACCATGCCCAAGTGGTGAACCCAGTTCACCCACACGCAGAATCGCAAAACGGATTCCAACCGAAGTAAAGGTCTGTACTATTCCCGGTGCTCACTTCCGGCGCATGATGTTTAATACGTAATCTATCATTCAGCTGTAGTCCAGGAAAAACATCCAGTTTTTTTGTCATAAACCGCTCGAGGAGAGCATGCGATATGCCAGCGTGCACATTGTGACCGCCAATACAGACGGTGAGCTGTATGTCTGGGGGTACGTCCCCATCGTCGTGGCGAAATGGTGGGTGGAGCTGCGCTGCGCCGTCTCGACTCCCTGACTAGTTGTTTACCTTGGTCTCCCCAGTGGCCCCTATCTCAAAGAACATGATGGGACATTGCAAAGTAGGCGTATATGATGTGAACATCGATTTCAACACTTTGCATCTATCAGCTACAGAGGCAGAGGGGACGTTTCGTGTCAACGGTTCTCCTTAGCCCATGCGAGATCTACAAGCTGCTTTCGAGACACCCCCACAGGTGAGTACAGATGATTCATACTTGGCACTATTAATGTACTATTTTCCCCATCAGTACGGGAAATATTTGCACGGCAGGAAGGAACGCTTTACAACGCATGATGTCGCAAGCGTCTTTCTCAGATATTCAACTCAGATGCCTATCAGTGACATTCGGTGCTTTATGCTGTGCCTACTCATGCTTCACTCAGGAACCTGTAATACCACACGATATGTATCACGATGTGAGTATATGCTATTTTTGCTGTTGATAGAGGCTGACTTCCTGGCTTTCTCAATTAGTTCCGGGACATCTTGAGTAAGGAGTTTTGAAAGCTTGAAGCTCAAGCTAAAGTTAAATTGAGACATGCAGAAAAAAAGCCATTCAACCATGATGAAGCGATTGAAACGTACAAGCGCCTAATTCAACGTACAAACCAATGCCTTCTTCTCTACGTCTTGGATTTGTTATCAGTATTTGCACGAAAATCAGAAAAGAACCTTGAGACAGCCACAGGTACGCCAAGCCCCTCTGTATTGACTTCCCTTCCCGCACAGATCTGTTGAGAGGTGATCCGTCAGAGCACCGAGCCGGTTCCAGATAAATATATCTAACTGTTCCAGTTCTATGTACCTTAGCTGCCAGTGTCACTGGACGTCATCCACCCTAGTTACTGACCATTTTCTCTTTTCTATTAAGGATGGCTAGACGCTATACTCGCACCTCAGTCTTTCTACCATTGACTGAGGTGCGCATACCATTCATATTATACTATACATGATACTTACTAGCGGTCCTACAGACTCACGCTACCTTAGGTTAGTTTACACGAATAGAGTCTTTCTACCATTGACTGAGACTCACGCTACCTTAGTTCTCGCTCTTTAACAGGTTATGAGCCCTGACTAAAGGGTAGCGACATCTTCTCCTCGAAATCTCTCATTCTCTCGCCGATAACCACTCGGCTCTGACACTACCATGTCGTCTCCTGACTCCCTTCCCAAAACTGAACGATATCCGCATGAGAAGCTCACCCTCGACGGATCCAACTACTCTCAATGGGCCACTGGCTTTAAGATGTGGTCCGGCGGCATTGGACTATGGCCATATATCAACGGCGACGAGACGGAACCATCACCTCCAGCCACACTCACGGACGTGGATCAAAACATTATTCGCGCAGAGAAACACGACGAGCGAGTACGAGTCTACAAGCAACGCCGACTCCTCGCTCTCAGCGCTCTGTCCACGGCAATTGATGCGCAGGACTTCGTCCACCTCCGCAATATAGATGATCCGCACGTGGCGTGGATTGCTCTAGAGAAGAAGTACCTTCCCCAAAAAGCTATTCGATTCAATCAATACCTGGACCGCCTGTTCACCATTCCCAAGGCGCATGACAGTGCCTCCATCGCCCAAACCATGCAAACCCTTACCGTGCTGAAATCAGACCTTGCAGCTCTCTCTGTCACCACAGTCGCACCCTCCACCACCAGTGTCGTTACAACTGCGGCAAAGGACGAGTACAAGATCCCGGACGCAATCTTCGTGCATGTTCTATTGCGCACCCTACCTGACTATTACGACCCCCTTCGTCAAACCCTCGTCAACAGCGACACTTCGCTAGACTTCAGCGATGTTGTGAATCGCCTGAAGACTCAGGAATTGCACTGCGCTGGGACCAGTGGCAGTGACCACGTGGCCATGCTCTCTGGACACCGAGGAGGAAACTCCTCCAACCCCAAGACCAGCGATCGTGTCCCACCGAAAGGATTTGATGAGACGAAAGGGGATGGCTGGATAGTAGGATGGCGACCTAAATGCGGCCACTGTCAAAAGGCCGGTCATGTCTGGGTACAGTGCCGTGCACGGCTCTCCAAGGACGACAAGACTCCAAAGTCAGCACCTAGTCCTTCCTCCCCTGCTGCTACCACCGCTGACACGGTGTCCTCCCTGCCAGACCCAACTGACGAGTCTATCACACCACTTCCATTCGTCCTTACGCTAAAGGATCACTCAGCCAATATCTCATCAGCCCTTACTTTACCGGCTGGATCCTTCCATGTAGACTCTGCCTCAACGGCTCATATGGAGCCCGAAATATCACGCTTTTCTCACTATGTGAAACTGCGTGAACCTATCCGTGTGACGTTAGCTGATGAGCATGTGGTGTTAGCTCCAGGATGGGGTAAAGTAAAGCTTGTTCTCCGGTTTGGTGATTCATTGACGGAACACGAGCTCGAGTTCCTACATGTCCCCGATCTACGTTGCACACTCATTTCGGTCTCCACCCTCGCCTCTGCTCGTATATCCTTCACAACAACCTCCAAAGGGGGAACACTGCGCTCTAACGATGGCAATGGGCTGTACATCGCCCACGTGCACCAGAAAGGCGGATTATATCTGCTAGATGCGACATACCACATGGCTTATTCCACCCCTGCACGCGCGATGCTCACAAAGGCTACGCCTCCATCTCTCAATACGTGGCATCGTTGTCTTGGGCATGCTGGTTTTTCGACCATTATGAAGGCCATGGGACATGTCAGTGGAATGAACATCGACAAGACCACGCTGCATCATCACATCGACAGCGCCGACACGATACACTGTGTGTCCTGTGTTATGGGAAAACATAAACGACTTCCCTTTCCTGCCGTTGCACGCCGCGCTAAAGCGACAGCCGACCTCATTCACTCCGACGTCTGGGGACCAGTCAACATCACTTCCTCTACCGGTGACCACTATTTTGTGGTATTCACTGATGACTACACGAGGTACTCAGTGGTCTATCTAATGCGTGCCAAATCCGAAGTCTTTGATCGTTTCCGGCACTTTATGCCCTGGATAGAGACGCAATCTGGGGGGCGTGTCAGGCGGCTTTGCAGTGACAACGGAGGCGAGTACATGTCGAGGGAATTTCTGACCTACCTTGGGGAACATGGTATTGAGCACGAAACCACCATGCCCTGGACTCCCCAGCAAAATGGTGTCGTGGAACGTGGGCACCAAACCATTGTCACTCATGCACTCAGTTCACACCACCTGAGTGGCTTCCCGCGTTCGTTCTGGGGCTGGGCAATTCTGAACTCAGCCCACATCAAGAACATGCTCCCTTCCTCATCTCTTGCTGGTCGCACACCATTTGAGGTGTTCTATGGTCGCAAGCCGGACGTTGGCTACCTTCGCCCATTCGGTTGCCTTGCCTATGCGCACATACCAGAGGACACCCGCCGCAAGTACGACTTCGTCTCTCATCGCTGCTTCCTACTTGGCCATGTACGGAATGCAGGCTACACTCTCTGGGATCCCTCTACCAAACGTGTCGTGCGTTCCCGTCATGTCCACTTCGACGAACACGTGTTCTATGGGGATCCTGCTTCCTCACCCCTCGCTCCTCTCCTTCGTGACTCGACGGATCTCCCTGCTGTCACTTCATCGGTGGGAGGTGTCTCTCAATCAGTGGGAGCGCAGGCTGGTGAGCCACCTCTATCGACCCCTGCTGACTGCGTACCACAGGTGTCAGTGGGAGAGCATGACGACCCACCTGACCAGAACGATCTGCCAGTAACACCTGACCCAACTGAACAGGTAACACTGCCTATCCCACAGCAACCTCCAATACCTCCTCCCCCTGCACCTCCATTGGATATTCCGCCTCGTCGCAGCACTCGTTCACGCCAACCGGTACAAGCAGGCCATATCGCACCCTCTGGCACCAGCGCAACGGCCATACCAACACGACGAGTTCCTGTTGCCGAACGCTGGACATATGTACCAGAGTCCTCAGCCAGTCAGCACGACAACGACAGTACCGAATCCGCAATGCACACAGCTACCGAACCTCCCAGACCTACTGAACCTCCCAAACGCTCAAACATAGTCATACCCGAAACCATCAACAAAGCTCGGTCATTACCAGAGTGGCCTCAATGGTCAGACGCCTGCAAATCCGAGCTACAGTCAATGCAGGACCTCAAAACACACAAACTCATGCCACTCCCAGAAGGACGCAAAGCGATTGGTTCGAGATGGGTGTTCACGGTAAAGACTGACGAAGAAGGCAACATCACCCGTCACAAGGCACGCTTCGTCGCGCAGGGATACACGCAAGTTGAGGGGATTGACTATACAGAAATGTTCGCGGCCGTCGCCAAGTACGACACAGTTCGTATTCTCCTTGCCCTCGCGGCGAAATTCAACCTTGAACTGGACCAGATGGACGTACGTACCGCCTTCCTCAACGCTGACCTCAAGGAGGACATCTACCTCAAGCAACCGGCTGGTTTCGAAGACCCTGAACATCCGGACTGGGTGTGGAAGCTGGAGAAAGCGATTTATGGGTTGAAGCAGGCGGGGTATGAGTGGAACCAGACACTGGATGAGTACCTGCGGAAAGAGGGGTTCAGATTCGTAAGGAGCGAAGCTGATCACAGTCTGTATGTCCTCCACGAGGGAGACAAAGTCATATGGCTAGTCGTCTATGTCGACGACATGCTCGCAGCGTCGAACTCTCACGATTACCTGGACAAGTTCAAGACACACATCAGTAAAAAACCCTAAATGCCGTAGCCCGAGTGACAGCTATATAGCACTATGTAGGCACAGTAGCACTATGTAGTCACACCTTACACTACATTGTCCTATATAGTGTTATATAGTCTAAAGGCAAGCTATATGTGGCTATATAGTTACCACCCGTGCTACAGGTAGCTACAGGTAGCTACAGGAGCTACACGTCGTTGTATCTAATTACTTATAACACATGCGCAAAACATTTCGCCATCGATGAACTCGTTGAAATAAAAATCGTTCGCCACCTCGTATGCATTTCCGCTTCTCAACCTCAGATCTACTGTTGGTCCCATCTTCGGTATAAGGTGGCACGGCCGCACGATTTCATCAACGTGGATTACAGCGGCGTTGTGGCGAAGTTGTCGTGTTGAGCGCGAGACCTGTCGCATTCGAGAAACAGGGTCTGGTGGTTTGAAAGGAGTGAACCACTCGACGTAGGCGAGGGCTCTGGAATATGCGCCGAACTGGCGAGGTAGGGTGAAAATAGCGCGAACTTGGGCTACACGTACACCTGCAACAAGACGATTATCAAAATTGACCGCTGAGAAACCCGGAAAAAAAATACCTTCAAGAGTATGGAAGTTAGAAGAGCGAGGCCTGTCTGCTATCAAGGCCATGTCAAACCGGGCTGGGATACCAGGCTTCCGGCCTGACGGCAACATTTCTGGTGTTGCCCTGATCCGCCTTCGCTGTGGCACGTCGCTAACTCGTAAATCAGGTGGCGTCACGATCACCACTTGACGATAAAGATCGAATCGGTCTTGAAGTCCAGGGACTATGGTGTTGCGCGGGAGATTCTTGAGCAAGAAGGATCGGAGAGCAGGGAGGAACTCAGTAGCACCGTGTGCTGTTATGATGGTTCCAACGGATTGGTGAGGATGTGCGGGGGCTTTCGCAAGGACATGTGTTGCTTGAAGTGGTTCAGCGGCGGGAAGATTTGGTGTTTCTGACTCCGAGTCCGTGTCCGAATCTGCGTCGAAGTTGTATGGGTTTGAATGACATCCGGTGAGACCCGCAGGTGACTTGGAGCGAGGCTGTTGGGACAACCAATCCAGGTATGCGCTACGTAAAAATACGGCTTCTTGGCGTTGGAGCCACAAAGCCATTTGTTCTTCGTAGTCCCGTTTGTTGCTAGCACGGTATGAATCTTTTGCAAAATCAATGTGTAAGCGCTCTGGAAGTTCAGTATTAAAGCCGTCAGCTGCGCCAAACAACGTGATCGACTGGATGTAATGAGAGAGCTGGTGTAGTTTCGGAATGTTGAAATGCTCTCGAACAGCGAGCTCCTTGAGGATGTCTTTGTTAGTGTGAAATACAGTCAGGGCGGTTTGTAGGGCTTCGAGGGACTCAGTCGT